GGGAGAAATCTGTTTCGGCGTCTCGCCGCGGCGGGGCGCCAGTCACGTGGCTCTCCTCTCGTCCGGTGTCTGCCACTCCACCTTTTTCCATTTCAGCGGTTGCTTCTCGTGGTGATCTGCCAGGCTTTGTCAGTATATAGAAAGTTATGGCTCCACAGACTTTCTTGTTATCCAGAAAAACAACACATACTCTCTGATTTTCAACACTGTTTCCGGAACACGCTTTCAACTGAAACAGCGCTGCTCATGCGAAAAGAAATATTAAAATCTATCCAGGATAAAGAGCTAATTCTAGGTGTATATGTTGACTTTTATGAGGCCTTTGATTTAATTAATCATAACATACTATTAAAATATCTACAGCACTATGGTATCCGAGGAGCTAAACTTAAACGTCTTGAATCATATTTGGAATACGAACGCAGTTTGTTAGCCTAAATAATTATAATTCAGCAACCAAAAGTAATTGTGACTGGAGTCCCCCATGGGAGTGTACATGGGCCGCTGTTGTTTATAATATTTATAAATGTTATCGAACCATGAGCACCAAACGTTAGGTTTATTTCATATGCGGGCGATACCACTCTTTTTATTATTAAAGGCCAAACAACTTCTGAGACCGAAAGTACGGCGGCAGTTGTTTTCGAAAACCTTCACTTATGGACGCATGTTAATGGACTAATAATAAACGCTGACAAAACTTAATGCTTACTGTTTAAACCACGGAATCGTAAAATTTCGTTGCCTTTAAATATCCCGATGAATTTATCTTTTTAGATATTGCGAAATCTGTTAAATTCATGGTGTAATTTTAAATTAATCACTTTTTTGGACTGAACACGTTCAGTGTATTTACCGAAACGTTTGCAAAGCGATAGGAATAATATCTAAAACTCGTTTGATGTTTCCCGCGCGAGTGAAGTGATCTTGGATTATTGTGTGATCTACACACATTACATGTACTGTCACCAGGTTTAGGGAACAACGAAACAAAACTTAACAAAACTGCTTCTAACACAGAATAAAGTCATATATTGCAACGCTAAGGCGTAAGAAAAAAAAAAAACGGACAGATCAACGAAGTCTCTCAATTTCATTCACCAGGTTGCCTTCGTTTTCTCACTTTCTGCACAGAATAAAGTGTTTCGCGTAATTGAACATTATTTTTCCTGCATTCTTCTGAGGAGCGTTTTCGAAAACATAATGTTGTGACAATTAATCATTTATAGAACTATGGTTTGATGGGAGTCTACAATACGGCAGTAAAACAAAATAACAACTTTTTTATTTCTGTACTGTGGCGCTTGGGCGAAACAAACCATATGTATGAAACTATACATAGCGAGAACTGGTGTGCTACTACTCCTCGCACTAATTATGGACTAGCCTCTTTAAGATATATTCTACCGTCGCTTTTAAATAAGCTTGAAGGTGAAAATATTGACTTTACTAAAACATCAAAGTAATATGTTATTAGAAACAGAGTGGTAACAACATTTGTGTAGCTAAAAGATGTAACAAGGTGTAGAATTTGTTTTTTTTTTTTTGCTTGTGTTGTCTAAAGTGATTCTGCTGCTTTTCTGCCACACGGGGTAGGGCCTCGTCAAGCTGCAAGCCGTTCAGCCCTTTGCCCTCTGTCCCTCCTTTTTTCATAAAGTAAAATAAAGAGATTGATATTATTATTATATTTCAAAATGGCGGCGTCCTTGTGAAATAGGTAAATAAGCACACGCTGGTGATCTCTTTCGAGATGGGAGGGGGGGGGGGGGGGGGAGGGGGATCTTGGTCGTGGCTAGGTGAAGTCAGTGCAAATCACTGTCGTCTACGCCGCGGCCAACCGGGACTGTAACAACCCGTACACAGGAAACCAAGCACTCTCGACAGCTGGAAAGTAAAAAAAAACATTGCATAGCGCGTTAACATTCGAATCCTAGTGGTATCTTAGAAGCGTTTATTTTAGTTGCTTAGGGGGAAAAAAAAAGTGTCCAACGTTGGTGCTGCAGTGACGAGTGACGCACGGTCAGGCAGGGCGATATTTTTACGTAGAAAAACTCAGTTGAATAATTTTACTTATTTCGGAAACCTGTAATATTTTACTTGCAATTGATTGCCAAAACATTGTAACTAATTACAGGGAACGTTACCGAAAAAAAGTAATTGAAGTTGTTAAAAAGTAACAACAAATTGTAATTGATTACTAGTAATTAGTTGTAACTCGTTACGTACACGTCTGATCGAGTCCCAACAAAAGGAGACTTCCGCCGTCAAGATAGCAGTGAAAGTGGGGGAAATGGGAAGGGTGGCGAGGAGAGTTTTCATAGCGTACAAGATCCTTCTTGTCTGTCGGGCTTTAAAGGGAAGCTGAAACGGTTTTGTATTTGAGGACACACTTAAATCGTCGTCATTTGACCTGTCTGATCTCGAATGTCCAAATTATTTTTGTTTTATTTTGGTGCATAGAGGCTGCAAAAAAAAAAAAAGTATTTTCAAATGGGCCTTCCTTCCCAAGGCGTGACGTCGAAAAAGAAGTTTTCGGAATCTCCGCTCTTCAGCGCCTATCAAAGCTATGCACGCGCACTCCTGCTATCTTTAAAAAGGGCAGAAAAAGACGTCACGACAGCTGCCAGTGCGGGAATATATACCTGGCAAGCACGCGCATGGTGGCCGAAAGATCCTCTTATGACGTCACTACTGGTCGGAGTTTTATCGTGTTTTCTGATATTTATTGGTATTGGTATTTATTGCGTACCCAAAACACCGTGAAGGCTTTGATATTGGTGCACATAAAAGTCACAAATGAGTTCAACATGCAAAGAGGATCTTTGCATGTTCAACATAAAGGAGCGACACATCAGCCATAATAAAACTAATTACAGACAAAACTCGGTATTCAAAGTAAAATAAGGCATGAACAAAAAATCATGCTGTACGAGGCGATTACAAAAAAGTTGAATTCTATGCATTGGTGACCCTTCAATCTGCTTGTCAGGATAAAACGTATTGCAGAGTCGCCTATGTTTAGCTGGCACACGTAAGCTTGTACTACTCAAAAGATCAGGTAAATCGAAACGACCTTGTATGAGTTTCTGTAAAAGCACCGCATCTCGGAAATGCCTATGGTCAATTAGGGTTCTGAGGTTTAAAACTTTAAAAGGAAAATTAAACTCGAAATAGAGTCTCATGTTAAAATGCCTATCGTAGACTATGCGTATCAGACGCCTTTGTACCATTTCTATGCGTCTGCAATCGCTATGTGATAGAAAGTTCCACACAGCAGGCGCAAATTCAAGTCGTGTCCTAACCAAAGCACCAAATAAGCGTAATATAGTATCAGGTGCCTGGAAGTGTCGAGTCAAATGTCAGATCATGCATCTCGAGCACTTTAAGACCGGTACCACAAAGGTTAGTGACATAAGATTTGAACAAAAGTTTACCGTCTACTAGCACCCCAAGGTCGCTAACTACATCAGTTCGAGCAATAGTACAGTTTTCCAACTTGTATATAACGTGTAAGAGATTTTTGCGCCTCGTTACCGAGATTACCTTAGTTTCGTTGGCGTTCAAAGGCAAGTGGTTTGACAGGCACCACTTAGAAATGCTCAACACATCAGATTGTAGCGCTTCACAGCCTTTTTTGGAATAAATATGTGAAAATAACTTTATATCATCAGCAAATAAAAGCATCCTGGCAGATGTAATACACTTTGAAATATCATTAATAAATACTAGGAATAGCAATGGCCCCACTACTGAACCCTGGGGTACTCCTGAAGTTGGAGAGAGCGCATTTGATAAAACATTATCAACCCGAACAAAGTTTCTTCTCGATGATAAATAACTAGAAACCCATTCACAAAGCTTAGGTACAATGCCATATTGTTCCAACTTTTGAACAAGCAAAAAAATGATCAACCCTATCAAAAGCCTTTGAAACATCGAAGTAAAGTTTAATTACATCTTCGTTAAAATCGAACGTGATATTCAGATACACGGGATAAAACTACGCTAGAATCAACCTCTGTCTTTTTTTTTTTTAAATATGCGTTTCAGCGTCCTTTAGTCCCCGTGGGTCTCTCAAAATACTGACATGTTAATTAATAACATCGAATTGCAGCAGCTATTTTATCTGATCGCTTCATAAAATGAAGTCACCTCATAGCAGCAACATTGTGACAACTTGTTACATCAATGTAGACGCGAAATTGATTCTTCTCTTTTACTAAAAGTGATATCGAAAGATTTGACAACGCAGTCATGAAACCCAATATGTTTTCCGAGGGATGGCTGAGTCATCGAGCACATATTCAATAATTGTGTTGCATGTATGTTTAGACAGAGAGAAGTGAGTCATCCCCAATAGGCTGGTGTTTACGTCTTAGATAAGAAATTTAGTCAGTGCCGAACAACCGCTAGCGTCGCGTCTTTAACGTGCGTCGCGCAGTAGTTTTACACGACCTCGCACGATGCTAATCCAGATGGGAACGGGCAGGGGTGGGGATTGAACCCAGGACCCCTAGGTTCCGCAGTGCGATATTTCGCTCCACGTGCTCCGAGCAGCGGTGCGCTAACTTACTCGACCACCGAACCTCCTTCGAGTATCTTCAAATGAACATCTTCCGCACGCATTAAGAATACCCTTTTTTTTTAACATCGAAACACCCTTGCTGTGCTCTTTTAACTCTTCCAGTTTACTGTTCGATTCATTGCATGTTTTTGCACAGTGCACGCGTTTTGTTGCCTCTTGGAGTGACCGGATAAGTGTGACTAGGCTTCAAAGGCAGATCGTTGTATACATTTAATCATAGTTTTTCTGGAACTGACTAATGTTAAACATGACCTCTACTCACTGTAGCCACAAGACATCTTTGGTGTGAGATTTCTCTGCCTAGATCAATTGCGACGCCACGTCCATGCGCAGTTGAGTATATAAGGACCGAGGCACTTTCAGTAAATCTGGTATATTTTGTCAGGACTAGCGATAATAACAAAATCAGACTTACGGGTTATGGCCTCGGGGCTTGTGTAGCTTATAAGTGCTTCGCGGGTTACCTTACATACAGATGGTGCCAGGTTAGCGGAGTTCAGAAGATTCGAGATGTAAGGAAGTATTTCCCTTTTGCATTCATGTCAATGGTCGGAGGGATACAACTCTCGCAAATCTGCAAACGGGAAGAAACACATTACAGAAATGCTATTGAGAAGATGATACATTTCTTCAAGTGTGACATGATTTTTGTCAGATTCTGAAACACAACAGGGGAAGGCAAAACTGTTTAAAACCTCAACAATCGGTTAGGTTAATTTTTTGGTTTCAAATGAAACTATCTGGAAAATATAGATCGAGATTACGTTGCATAAGTAGTTTACGCCATAATAATAAAGCTAGGGTTATAATGAATAGATCCACCAAGGGCCCTAACTTCTTTAATTTGATCTGGTTCAAGGGTGTGCATGTTAGACCATCCTTGCTTTCCGGAAATATTTTAGGTCAAGAATTGTGATAAACAAATCACTAAATGCTTGCCAAATAATTTTCTCTACCGAAGGATACTGTTAGAATCCTTATTACTGGATGTACGAAAAAAACGCATTGTACAGTTACTTCTGAGCGTACCTCTTCTGTCACATAAGTGTTTTTACCGCATTTTGTTCAATACGTCCTAAAACATATATAAAACTTCTGCATTTTGATATCGAATCATGAGTCAAACAGAGCATTAAATTAGTTAATTTTAGTGAAAGCGTTTATTTTGAAGCTCCTCACCTGCGCGTACTTCTTCCAACGCTCCATCTTGGCCAATTTCTGCCGAAATCGCATATGTGGGCTGGCAGCATAGAACCGCAACAGGCATTCGGCACCGGGTTTCATCAGCTCTCCGAGGTTCTTGAACGCTTTCTCTTGATCTTTCACCCAGTTGAAGCAGTAGGAGGAGTAGACGCGATCAAACCGGCCGTACCTTTCTATGAAGTCGGCCACATCATCCGCTACAATATCGAGGACGTCATACCAGATCTTGGCATGGGCATAGTGCGCCTTAGCGAACTCCACCATGTCTGCCGACACGTCTACCGCGACAACCCTCCGGCATGGAAGGCAGCGGGGAAGCAGACCGTCACGCGTGATGTCTCCTGGACCGCACCCTAGGTCAAGAATCTGTAGGTCATCCTTTGCGTCCTCGCCGTAGGCTTCCTTCATTGCTTTCAGTCCATCAACGACGAACGACAGCCGGGCCCTGGCGTTAGCGCCGATGTAGAGCTTCGGTTCTAGCGTAGAGATAGCTGTTTGGTTGTTCCTTGCCATAACAGTGGTTGTAGAAGTGTTCGGTCTTCTGAAAGTAAAGGGCTACGCTGGGAATACTGTCGTGTTGGAAAATTCCAACTCGTATTACTCAAACATGTGCTTCTATTTTGAAAACGGCACCGCAGCTGTAGCCAGCATGCGCTTATAAAGAACATGCCTGTTTCCTTTGTGCGCACACAAAAGGGCGTACATGTGCGCTTCACTGTGTCAACATAACTAAAAAAAAACAAAAAAAACGACGTTGATGAATAACGAGCTGGTTCATCACAACGTGTTTACCGCATAGCTGAATCGCCCGAGCTGCAGAGCAGCAAGTAGCAGAGTGTAACATCCCATGTTGTATCAACTAGGCTAAAAACAGTTTTCTCTCC